TCAATCGGAATAGTGTCTGGGGTCTTTCAAAAGGCGTGCATTCAAACCAGCAGCCATCTAAGTGAGGAGTCAACCAAGTCCACATGGAAGAAGCACACCAGCTTGTGTGAGCCAATGATGACAACAGCAAAATCCAAATATGACAAAGGGAAACGTATCAGAGCCTAAAGTGTGAACTCCCAATTTGTCAAATTCTAGGGAGGACAGAGGGGACGCAAAACCCCTCTGCAGAGTGTCTGCTCAGATGAAGCCGCTGGAGATCCCCAGTAGCCACAGGTAAAGGGGTCTTGAACAGCTTTGCTATCAGATGGGGATCATTGTAGCAGTGATTACACTGGATCGCACTTGATACTTGGTCAGCTGACCCCTCTTAACCCAACCTGAAATTCTTCTATGTGCAAGTATTTCTTGCTAGTTCCATGAAAAAAATTTCTTCCCTGGCCTTTTCAATATTCATGGCGGTCTTTTCTTTCTTGCTCACTGTTTGCATTTCTATCTTTGTATTATTATTTTATCCTTACCACTGTTTTTTATTGTTTCTGTTGGGATTTCCAGTTTGTTTAGCACTGAAGGAGTAGAGGCATAGAGATAAGAACTCTTCTCTCTGGAAGCATTCCCAGGTAAGTCCATTAACCGTTTGCCCCACCTCGGGTCTGCACACCTTGATTGGGTGTGTGTGTGTGTACAATTCAAGACTTCTCATCTAGCTACCACCCCTCTCAGATCGCCCCACCTCGGGTCTGCACACCTTGATAGGGTGTGTGTGTGTGTGTGTGTGTGTGTGTGTGTGTACAATTCAAGACTTCCCATCTAGCTACACCCCCCTCAGGTCGTATCCTGCCTCTTTTCCTTTAAAAAAAAAAACAAAACTATCTAGCAACACTTGAACTCCAAGAAAGCGGTCCCCTCATCATTTAAGGGGTGCACAATAACCCACAGCTCTTCCTGCACCCAATCCTGCCCCTGGGCCACCAATTAGGGGTTGCTCAAACTTGCAGCAGCTCCCTTGTTTGAGAAAGGCCACAGAGGAGAGGTGCTTCCCATCCAGGGCCCTGGTGTATCTGTGTGGAGGCTGGACTCCGGTCAAGGTACCTTGAGTAGCAGATGAACGGCGCTGCAGGGCTGAACCGGGAAGAGTTTCAAGGCATTTTCTTTGTCGGTGCATTTGGCTGGTTGGAATTCTTCACAGCAGAAACAAATCTTGCCTTCGCCTAAATCCACCTGAGTGGGAAAAGGGGAGAATCGCAGTTTGATGATTGGGGAAAACACCAAGGTTACGACGTCCCTGAGCCCACAGACGAGGGACAGCAGGCTGCCAGGTATCTCTCCGTCAGGACAGACTCTGCCAAATCTCAATGGCCAACAAAGACGGGTCATGTCGCGTGTCCACGGCAGGTTGGGGGGCTCTCTGCTCTTCCTGTTAGCCGAGGCTCCTGGGTTGGTGGGGCAGCTACTCCCCAGGCCAGAGTGATGGAGAGCACTGACCAAGCGCACACCAGCACTTGGAGTAGGGGCGTATGAAACATGGGACACCTGGTTAAGTCCAAGTTCAGATAAGCTGCAACTGATTCTTTAAATATATCAGCATGTCCTCCCAGTGCAGGAGCTGCTTAAAAAACAAACTGCCATGTACCTGACATTCAAATTCAACTAGATGCCCTGTGTTTTTATGTGCTAAATCTAGCAACCACACCTTAAAACTTCCACCTTGAAAATGACTCATTTTACCAAGGGCTCCTATAGAAAATGTTTAGAAAGGGATGATGGCAACCTATGTACAAATGTGCCTGATACAATGGATGTATGACGGTGATAAGAGCTGTAAGAGCCCCCAATAACATGATTTTTTTAAAAAGAAGATACATTTTCTTACCCAGCCAAATCACATGACCCCATCTTACTCCAAGAGGGTAAGGGAATTTAGCTCTACCATTTCTTTGTACGAAGCACAGGATACATAGTTGGTGACCAAGATAATCTAGATCCAGTAGATTTAAAGAGATCTCTTCATTCATGTGCTCAAGGTGGACATGGATTCCATAGAAGAAGTTTTTTTTCCTTATGTAAAGTGATGACCTCATACATCTTTAGTGAGATGCTCGGAGAACTTTTGATCAGTTTCCCAATTTTTCTTTGTGAAAATAAGTAAACCTGATTTCAGTTGGTGCTCTGCTAACCACAAGGTCCCCAGTTCAAAACCACAGCCTCCTCAGTGCGAGAAAGACAAGACTTTCTACTCCTGTAAAGAGTTAAAGACTTCCCCTGACACCAACCCCCATGTTTAGGGTAAACAGAGCCCGGTGGAAGGGGAGATCATGCTGTGGGGGACTGCTGGGTCTGGGTCTTGGCTCACGGTGGACCTGTCCTGGCGGAGACTCCTCACACCTACAGTGTCCACAGTGATGTGACATGGGAAACATTGAGGATGTGACACGTGCAATCGTCTGACACCCCAGGGGGACGATTGACAGTGTTTTACATTTCTGCCTCTATGGGGTTTTGTTTTCCTGCTTTTAACTTGCTTGGGGTTTTTTGTTTTGTTTTGTTTTTTTGCTTGTTGATGTTGTTGTTTGAAGTTTGCTTGTTTTTGTTTGTTTGTCTTTTGTTGTGTGTTAGCTGGCTTGTTGCTGTTGGTGGGGTAGTTGGTCTTAGGTGGTTTTGAATTTGTCATAATAATACGACCGCCA